CACACAACCAAAAACAATCACTGACCTTCCAGTCCCCCATTACACCATTAGTGCTTATGATCAGAGAGGGCGGGTGGCGGCGGCCTCTTTGATGTCCCTCTGATACGACCCACCCGGCTGCAGCTGCTCTCGGCTCTATTTTGGGGAGGCTGCTGTGGGCCCTTACAACAGGGCTTCCTTAAACCACACAAACATGCAGAACACATGCAAACACTCGTGTCATGTGCAGTGATACCATTCATCCCTGTGACAACTGAACTCTATACAGATCACACTTTCTTGTACCCACCTCTGGTGCTATGGAAAAACTTGAGCCACCAGTTATTTCTTTGTATTTTTCTAGGAAAATGAGAAACGGCTGCAGCTATTTATTGAAAAATGGAAACATACATGGAAATACAGTATATAAGGCAAAATCTAAGTTTGTGTAATTCTAACAACCTTAAAATACAGCTTTTTTCTTCAACACAGCCAACTCTGTTGAAGAAGCTTTCTTGTTATTTCTTGAAGTAGTCTTCAGGAATAGTTCTCCAGACTTTTCCTATCAAGGCATGCTTTTGTGCTTCGAATCATTTTCAAGCCATGTCAGGTTTAATTCATCACTCCAAAAGACCTGTCGGCGTTGATTTTCAGTCAAGTTCTTGTAAAACTCGGCATACCTCAGCATTTCCTCCCTGTTTTCCTTCCTTCAGAATGGCTTCTTCACAGCCAATTTTCCACTGAGGCCATTTCTTATGAAGCTTCAGTGAATAGTGGATGGATAAACTAAAGGGCCAGATGTGTCTCTCGGGTCTTTGTTGGATTTTATTCCCATTTCTTAAGAACAGTTTCCTTAGTTTTTTAGCTAATAGTGCTTTGTGAATCACCTTGTTGGTGCAAAAATACTTTATACCCTTCAAACTGTGTTACATTTGCCATTTTTAATAAAATCGACTAAAGAAATGGGAATAAGCAGTGTGTTTTTGTGAGAGACTGCTATTAACAAATTGACTAAAAATACAGTTTAAAATTGGTTCTTTGCTAAATAGTCTGTTATGTGAAACAACAATGGTTCACCCCTTGAGTTTTGTACCGTTTATATTCTTGCATGATTCACAGGTCAGTGCTAAGTGGCTTAAAAAACATTCTTCTGAAAATGTTCAGGTACAAGAACTGCACTGAAAATCAGGAAAACCAGCCAATGTCCAAGAATAACCTTCAAAGCCTTCCAAACAGCCTGGGGAACCATTGCTCAAGATCACTTTAAAATATTAAAAAGAAAGTCTGGCTTCTTAGAAGTTAAATATAAAGAAGTGAGGGGTGACTCAAAACTTTTGCATAGTAGTGTAAACACGGTCAAAGTTTCAAATAACAGTGTAAATGCATGTACAATTAATCCAAATGAGGCAAAAACACAAATGTCGGAGTGCTCTAAATGATCAGTTCATCTTTTTATTCTGCTCCGCTTGCCTCTGTATTGTGTCAGTGAAAGGGGATAGCTTCATGTGGTCGTCTGTGCTGTGCACTATACCCTCGCCAACCTCCTGTTCAAAACCTCTGTTTGCAAAGGCTAGCCAATCAGTAGAGACTCAAAGAGGCAGTGGTCTTAGACGGAAAAGAGCTAAAGCAACTTTTTTTCAGACAGATCTTCAACTGAGTGGCCACACCAAAGTTGAGTATAAGATAATTAAAAATGAGTTTGAACTGTGAATAATTCAAAGCTACTCTAATGGAGTCCAATAAAGAAAACATGCATATGGAAATGACAATAGTGGGCATACTTTAAACATTTATCTGCTGATTTTTCCATCATTAATGATAAATGGCAAAAGTGGATATGGTGTTGTGGGAAGACTTTGTCTCACTTGTCTATATTTACCAGCACACACAATTTCCTCTTCTTTATACCACAGTTTTAATTCCACATCGGTTGGTCATATGTAAATACATTAGGACCATTTTAGGAGCAGTACAATGGCCTTGGTAGAGAAGCCCTGAATGAAACCAGGTCAGCATTATAGTCATGATAGGGAAAGATGGGGGATGAATGTCTTTGGGCAATTCTTCTTCAGTGAAAAGAAGGGGAGTCTTGTCACAGTGAATCTGAGTGTACTGTTCCTTTAGCCTGCAGCCAGCCACAGCGCCCTGCACTTCTCAAGTTGGTCTTAATCCCATGAAGCTCAGCATCAGCATGACATGGTTCAAAACAGAAGCATCTCAATATCAATTTATGCTAATTGTTTAAAAAGTCTTAAAATCCATGAAATAAAAATTGTATATGAACTTTTTATATAAAAGGATTTGTTTCTATTTCTTCCACAATAACTGTGTTTGTGTAATTTGATTTACCAGAAAATTAGTGAGAATGTAAAGTATCATATGTGGCAAAGTGCCGCTTTTGATATCCTGTCTTTGTTTACCTTGTACGGTGGTGGGGTCCTCTTATGTGCTCCTTTGATAAATAGTTGAGCAGGTAGAGCTGTTGATCAAACAAATGGGTTGAGGAGAAATAGGTGCTGACATAGTAGTATTCAGCCAAAATGCCTTTGAAAATTGCAGCTAATGGTGAAAGCAGTAGGATGAAACAATGCGCTCCGAGTCAGTGAAGCACAATTATCACGAGCCATGCATTAATGGTACACTCCTGGCATTGTGACGATGAGTGTAAAACCCCAACTTATGCATCCGTTAAGACGAAGCCATTCGCAGCAAATAATGCATGAGGAAAAATAGCATCCTCCAAATCTTTGAGAAGTCTTTTCTGGCTTGCCTCAAGTTTATATATTTATTTAATGTAGTTCACGCACAATGAAAGCTTCAGCAGACAGATAAGTGGATGTGACAACCATTTACTTTGAGTAGCTTGAGGCTAATGCGTTGTGTTGAGGCTTGCTTGTTTGAACTATTATGACTCACCCTACAGACCCCTGTGATAAAACCTTCACCATGACTCACATGTCACTAAATAAACAGGACATGGAGGTCCTTGTGCTTAAATGGCATGCGTTGCTCTCTTAGGGTCCCAAAGAAGTGGCACATTGAGGCTCGACAAGTGAAAAAAGAATCTGCTGCGTGTTTAAATAATGCAGGTAATTGTTTACTTAAAAGGGACAGGTTTACAGTTTGATAACTGCTATTTGGTTCTGTTTGTGTAAATATGAGGAACAGATGAGGTGATGCTAAGCAAGGCAAGCAATGCCAAGCATGGAAAGGGGATCTGCTTAATACTGATGTCTTAGCAACACTTCTGAAAAACGCTGCCCACTGATATCTCCTCACTGCTTACTAGCATTAATCCAATTTTAGAACGGAGTTGCTTTTTGCTCTGAAGGTGGAGGCTTGGTCTCAGTTTGTTTGACCAATCGGCAGCAAATTTCAATTTGCTACCCAAGTCCTTAGTTTCTATTAAGGCTACCTGTTTAGAACATAATTATAAGCACTATATAAATATTGTTTTAGAAAGGCTAAATATAAGGGAAAAAATGTATGTCAGGTGTCTGCTTATGTATTTTCTCTGCTCTCCCCTATTGAGTCGCACACTCACCTCACGCCCACTAAACTGGGTGTAGAATCTCCACCCTGGTTCAAAATTATAGCTGTCAAAGAATTTTGTTAAATGGCCTCTATAAGAAGGTACGATATGCTTATAAGGTTTTGGTTTATATTTGTCCAACTCAGCCTGTGCAACCAAATCTTGTCCCACTTGCTCTGCCTTATTAGAATAGTAACAGAGATATTCTATACTATTACTGACAAGTTCTGCTTCACATAGGGGTTTTAGTTGCCAGGAATATATACCCTCCAGAATATTCCAGAGGGACACAGTCTGAACAGCAATACGACACCGTAAAACCATAAAATTAAAAACAAAACAAAAAATCTCCCAGTTTTGCTTTTTTCTCTTGGAGTCAGGGCAGAGACCACAGCAAGTGCAACGACATGGTGTTGCTGATTCCAGGCAGGTGCCCCTGCTGGCGTAACATGACACTAATCCAGGGCTGATCAGTGGTGGAAACAGTATAAACTGACTCGAGACAAACTGGGGCACCTGCGTGCTTCTGAACAGCTAATGTGAGACCCTGACTAAGATACTTTGATTTCGTGCCTGGTGTTTTTCCCCCTGGATCTCATTATCAGAAGGTCAACATGAGGTCACTGTTGCATGGAGATAGGTAGGAGTGAACATGAGACTAGAATTTAAAACATTTTTACAAGACAAGTAGAAATCCTTGTATCCTTCCAATGAAATCTATTTGTTGATTTTATTTGGAATTACTTGTGTTGCATGTATGCTGTCCTCTATAATATACTCACCAGCCATTTCATTTGGTATCAGGTTTGATCCTGTTTTGCTTTCTTAACCACCTTAATTCTCCATGGCATAGATTCAACAAGGTGCTGGAAACATTCCTCAGAGAATCCGGTCCACATTGACATGCTTGCATCACACAGTTGCTGCTGATTGGTCAGCTGCACATGCACGATGGCCGTCTCCTGTTCCATCACATCTGAAAGGTGCTCAAATGTGGATTGAGATCTGGTGACTAGTGGAGGCCATTTGAGCACAGCGAGCTCACTGTCATGTTCAAGAAAGTTTGAGATGATCCGAGCTTTGTCGGGTGTTATCCTGCTTGAAGCAGCTTTCAGAAGATGGGTACACTGTGGTCATAAAAGTAGACATGGTCATGAGGGCAGGATGAATCTATGCTTCCATGTTGTTTTGACCCTACCATTTGAATGTCACAGCAGAAATCGAAGCTCATCAGACCAGGCAACATCTTTCCAATCTTCTACTGTACAGTTTTGGTGATCCCCTACGAAGCTTTTTTTTTTTAGTTACTAGCCATTCTTCTCTGATCCATGGCCTCAACAAGGCCTTTTTACCAAGGAGTGGCTGCTAAGTCGATATTTTCACATCTTTGGACCATTCTCTGTGAACCCCGGATACTGAGTGTATACCATGATACCTGAAAGGTGAACTGAATGGTAAACGAGGATCAAAATACAAGAAGAAAGCATAATGTTGTTTAACAAGGCATAACATCTTTATTGTTATACACATAACTTCATCTCCAAAGACTTTGCACAAATCAGTGGGGTAATATGAACCTTGCGATATCAAAAGTCTCCCACAGTTTCTTGTTATTTCCTAAAATACTCAAACAAATACATCTGCTTTCCACATCCCCAATGGTACATACAGTACATCCAATTAGAAATAAAGAATTTTTTTTCCACTGTCAAACATTATCATATGTGCATTACATTACCAATTACAAACAAGTTATATTCATTGTCAAAATAGGTGTGCAAATTGTTAGAAAAATACCAACTCATACCAGATTCTGGATTGTGCTCTGTAAAAATCCTTATAAATAGTATATAATAATCTATATAAATGTCTCTAACATGCAATGTTGCAATTCAAAAAATATCCCATAAACACACTGTTCAGGTAAACCCTCTGAAACTCCAGCCTTAACCTTTATTTGTCAACACCATAGTTTTCTTTAAATAAATGTCAGTAGTTAGTTTTTCAGTAGTTCTGTGGACGGTTTGCAAACATCAAACTGGTTGAAGCGTTCTCGAAAAGTAACGTGCTACTCATTCCTCCACCAAGGCAGAAGGATGTGATGGATACCATTTGTGTGTTTGCCAGCAACGTTATGCAATAACTACTGAGGCCAATTTTCATGAAACGTGGTGGAGAGGTGGACTATGGGCAAAGGAAGAATTTATTGAATTTTTGGTGCAGGTTGGATCACTTCCTTTAAAACTGTGAAACAGGCTGCTGGCCTTAGTGGAGGATGAGCGCTCAACTAGTTTCATAAGAGACATTATAGTAAAGTTGACCTACCAAGAAAAAAAAGGACCGCATTAAAGAAAATCTAGACATTTTAAAGCCCTTTCTGTGATGACCAGTGTTCACAAACACATCAGCTATACAATGAATAAATAATTAATCTTGGTACAGGTGACAGTAAATGTCCGCCGTATATAAATAACCACTTTGAAAATCAAAGAAACTCATGCCATACCTGCAACAAAGACTACAAGCAGCTACGATGAGGCAAGTTAAAAGCATGGTTCAGGTGATGACAACAGTCAGACAGTCAGAGTATTTCCCACATACAACAAAGTTAAGACAAGGATGGCATTTCTTTCCCTCCCCCCCCCCCGCTTCCTCATCATTTTTGAGGTAAACAGTAGTACTGTTAAAGACTTTTGAAGGCATCTCTCTTCTCCCTGCAGCCACATTCCCCATGGCCTTGACCTGAATAAACTGTCCACAAAACTGTCTCGATCCAGTCTCATAAGCAAGCAAGCAAGCAAGCATTTCTGGGCTTACACAAGCAGCTGTGCGAGCTGCGTTTTTGCATCTTATCGGTATAGTGAAAGCAAAGAATAGTGACGAAATCCAAGCTAAATGGTCTACGCGTGTACAATGAAATAATTTTCCTTCCGATTTCATAAATAAGACATTTGTTACCCTCAGAGTGAGCGAGCTTCTAAAGTACTGCTTTCCTAATCATAATGACTGCTGTCAATTACCACTTCTCTCAAAACCAGCCTATTAAAAAGATGCGAGTCTCACAAAATAAATGGAAATAAAAAAGGATGTTCATAATGGCCATACTCGAACCTTTTGAAAGTATAAACATATTGCACTTTCAGTTACGTGGTTGTGTAACGTCAAATTACAGCTCAATTGTTGGAAATGAACAAAGGGAAAGCAAAATGTATTTATTAGTTCTGAGAAGAGAACAGATTTCTACAAGCAAATGACGGCAGGTAACCAACATTGATAGAACATCTATGAACAAAAAACTACGTTAGAACAAAAAAGAAAGAAAAACAAAGTGTTCAAAACTGTACCATGCACGGGGAGTGTTTCAAAGCAGTGTATCCTGGATCACAAAGGACGGAGCTTGAGAAAGGTGCAGTGATGTTTGGGTTAACAGAGTAAGACTGGCTAGTGACCGTGCTAGCACTGACTGCTGGCAGCGGCCATGCCCACTTTCCTCTTGCAAGAGTGGCTAGAACCCCAGAAAACTCTCCAAACACCCAAAGCGCACTCCTGCTGCGACCGTCCCCCCTCTTCAACCCCTTCCCCCAACCCTCGAGCCGGGCTCACATCTCCCCATCAAAACGTCAGATGGCAAAATAGAAAGGCAGCTGTTTGCTCCCGTCATCTAAAAGTGCATCTCCACACTCTTCCAGCACAGTCCGTCAGCCCACTGCTATCGCTGCCAAGGCAGTGGAAGTGGGCTACAGAGACCTGTGCTTGGATCAGCACATGTGTGGGTTTCAATTACGTCTTCTTTTTTTTTTTTCATTTTATGTATATTTTTTTTTAGATTGCGTATGTTTGGTTGCAATTTTTAAACATTTTCTTTATCGCACTAGACACAACATTTCACTTTAGCTTTTAGAGAAGCCAAAGGAGTGCTAATTCACGGGGCTGGCCCTTAACAAGGCCAGTGTCAGGTTGGTGTTATCGTTGCCTTCCTCTCGATTCTCTTCGGTTTCATGCTGATTCCTTTGGCCATCCCCGTGTTTCACTGGCGGCGTTTTCATGTTTCAAGGCCGACGATGCAACTGTACCAGTTGCCATGGTTCCGCTGGAACATAAGACAGTTTGTTTGTAACTTTCTGGATTTAATTGAGCCCTGTCACATTTCAGATGCACGCTGAGGCGCATCAAGGAGACGAGACATTAATTCATGCTGTGATCATTGATTTCTGTTGGAGAGCAAATATGGGATGAAACAATACAGTAAATCAGCTTACCTGAGACACAGCATCATCATGTCAGAAAATGGACAAATATAATTGCGAGGCCAATATTCAACAGCATTACCATAGCAACAAGGATTGAGTTAGGACCCTGCAAAAAATGACAAAATATATAAAAATCGTACAGTAGGGAATCAAATGTACTGTAATGAGACCTCAACGTGTAATGTGCTAGCATCCCTGTATATAAAAGATGGCGTAGCCACCATGACACCACCCACTGATTCACTGAGCCTAGAGTCTAGCGTTGTGGACATTTAAGACTTTTCAAACCAAATGTCACAAGTGACATAAATGAAAAAGTTTTAAAAAATCCAGGAAAGTCTACCCTAAAGCACATCCTGATTTAGCATCTATTTTATTTTAAATGATTTACACAAGTATTAAATGAACGTCATGCTGTATTAAATAAGACTTTAAACTACCAATTGAGCTCATCAACTCCTAGGTAAATGTTTATTCAAGTCATAAAGTCATCAACTCATGTGGGAAGAAAAACTGTCATATTGCAGTTTCCAAGTTCCAAAAGTTCATCCTCTTTCGCGTTTGCAGACATCCATCGTTTATATACAGGCCATGTTTCAAAGTCAAAACATGAATTTGAATCAATAAAATACAAAGAATAAAGTGGTATTGAGGGTATCACACTCCCTTTATCTTTCAAAGAGTTGTTGCAGTTCAGATTTATAGTTCTAGCTTAGTACAATACAAGATTAAAAGTTTGGGTAATCAGTGATTATTTCATACTTTCAACTGGAATTAGTCATCAGACAACTACTCCAGAAGCTACCTAGAATGAGTCTGATATTTAAACCTGCTTTAGACAGAAAATTGGTTAATGAGATATGTGTTTGTGTCGCACCTTTGTGCTAAACTAAGCTAATCCACTACTGGGTGTAGCTTCTCATTTACAACACAACTTTCAGCAAAAAAGCACAAATGTGTGTTTAAGTCAGATATTTTTCCAAAACCTTTGCTTTAACACACACTTTCCCATCCTGTCACTTACTGTTTCTTCCGTGCTTTCTGCAATTTCCATGCTTGCTTTCTTTGTGTCTGCGAGGCTCTTTGGCTTTAGAGAATCCTGCTTCCTGAGTTTCTGGTCGCTCTTGCTCTCCCGTATAGATGCTGCCTTAGGAGTAGGTGTACTAAAAGATCTAGGGGGTTGTGGGGGCATACGTGCCAAAGCCAGGGCACTAGGCTCTTCTTCTGGATCCTCAGGTTCTGGGGGTGGAGGGACCCTTGTAGGGGCCTTGACGTAGTAACTGTGATATTCAGTGTGGAGCTGGCCATTGACTGGAATTGCAGGAGGCTGTGAAGGGGGCACAGATGCTGGGGTGGGTTGCTGAACTTTAGTGGGTTTAGGTGGAGCTTCGATTTGGGCCTGAGAAGCTTTGGGCCCATCGGTGACAGGCTGCCGTTCTTCTTTACTCAGCTTCCTACTAGACCGCTCATCCTTGCTGGTCTTCTGACTTAGTTTCTCTTCTTTGCTAATCTTGCGGGAAGGTTTTTCTTCTTTGCTGGTTTTGCGGCTGGTGCTGTTGTTGGTGAGCTGTCCTTTCTTCTTGCTGGATTGAGGTGAGGGGGGCGGTGTGGTTGCAGGGCTGGTCGCAGGAGAGTGGGGAGGCGTTGTGCCTTTCCGGTAAAAGTGGGGAGAATCTCTCGGAGAGCTGTTCTTCTTTTCAACAGGGACCTCTTTAATCTCCACTGGCTCCTTTAACTGCTGTTTTACATAGTCGGGACCTGAATGGGGGAGACAGGTAAAACGCATTAACGTGACATACTGTTTGCCTTCAACACACAGATGAAATTTAAACCACATCTACCCTCAAGCGCAGTTAAACTTTCAAATAAAATATTCATCAACATTATATTGAAATTCAATAACTCCGCAAAGCCTAGAAAAGAGGGTCCCGGGGAGACAGAAAGAAATGGACTGATTAATGCAAGGTCACAAACACCATTTCACAAAGAAAGCCTCCCCTGCATGCTCATCTTCATCATCAGTCATTCTCTTTTATCAGTATGTCGCTTTCCTGGAAAGTCTTTTCAGTTCTTAGCATCCAATATGGCCACGCAGATAATGAGAGGTGACCCCGAGGTACAGCACTGACACACTTTGATGCGAGGAAGATCATTCCTTTTACTACAGAAAGAGCTTTTGGACTGCCTGGGTTAGTGGACGCTCACGGACTTTGAGACTAAATGAAAACTTCTCTTTCAACTATGTAGATGTTGAAATCTCCTCTAATATCCTTTTTAACGTGCAGACAATATAGCTGAATGTAAATGTAATTTCGCATGTGGGTAAAGTGACACCTTATCTGTCCCTTTTGTTCTCCTGCTGAATTAACATTTATTAGAGACATTAAGCTCTTTGTTCGCCTGTTTTTCTCCCCTTCGCCTGAATTAGATGGTGTCAGAGTGACTAAGAGGAGGGATAATGTTGCTTTGTTTGAAGTATATCAGGCGGTATGAGCAGAAAATGATTCTCTGCATTCCATATGATAGAAATAAATAAAGGCGTTATAGAGAAAAAAAAATAAATATTTGGCTGTTATGCTCTATCTGCACGTTGACTCGTTCAGCACAGACTCACTGAGCTGGAAAATGGTTGATCTCAGAGATCAGTCTTGTCTCATACATGCCTGACACCAATTAAGCTTGCACAGTACGATTTAGTCTCAAAGAGTTAACATTCATTTGCCACTCATCAGTTCTTGGAACAATTACGCAAATCCAGAAGGTAACAAGTCTATCCAGTCTCATATGAGTGTAATCGGCCTTACTGGGGAATCTTTCGGGCCTCAGTACTCTTAAGCCCAAAGTACTTTTCAGCTGCGTGGCAGCCTAATTTGTTTCATAGCCACCACAACCAATAAGACCCACTACAAACAGACATGGGGACATTTGAACATCTGTGGGGCTTAATATATCTGCTGAGCTTAATTTCACACCATAGCTCAACAAGAGTTAGGGCCTTGTGGGCGGATCCAGGCAATTTCACTATGGATGGGGACGGATTCCTTCAAGAGGTTCCAGGCATTTTCTGAATGGTTCTTGGCACTTAAACACTCCGCCCTCCCCAACACCACAGCCTCAAACAGATAGAGGACCACAACACTGGGCGTCAGGAAAATCTACACTTCTGCAGCCATGCTCAATTCCAAACTATGCCGATCATGCTTTTCCTGTTTCAAAATAACACTTGTGAATGTACAGGATATATTTATGATTGTTTTGTAGATATTTCAGGAAGTCTACATCCTCTTGACAAGTTAGTGAAGATTTATTAGAGCTGCTCTTCCAAGGAATCCTGCCAGGTCAGCTGGAACATGTACTGGTTACCCAAATGGCTGTGGTGTTTCTTTCCGTTGCGAACATTGATCAACTGGGCTGAGTCTGCAGCCTTCTCAAAGAGGGTCATTTAAATAGGCCATGATACCCAGCCATGACCAAAACAAAAATACTTGAGATACAAACATAGATAAAAATGCAAGTTTCAGCATTAGGGAGATTTTTTTGTATCCTCAACTTATTTATTTTCAATAACTCAAACACTTTACTTTCTTCTCACACGACTGTTGTATCTTTGAGGTTTATTTGAATGCGAGCTTTTGTTTAAGCTGCAGGATGCCAGTTCAGTTTATGTTAATCCACAGCACATTTTCTGCTCCACTGCACTCTTAGCAAAACACACGCTCTTTCCCTCTCTCTGGCACCCACACGCACAAGATCACACACACACAAAACACAACAGATTGGCTGCTTAAGACCTAACCAGCCCTGTCCTTAATATGAGATGAACAGCGGTAGCAGGGGGAAAAGCCTGGGGCCGGGGTAAGTGTGGGCATCAATGTTTATGTGTAATGGGGGGAGGCGGGGGGTGGGGTGGGGTGGGGGCGTGGAGTACAGTATATGCGATTACACATCTGCTGCCATTGTGCATCTGAGTACACCTCAGCTTAATGCTCATAGGAGTCAAGAGTTTTTGGATGAATGATGACAGGTCTACATGGAAATGCACACTTCCACAAAGCAAACTTTGCCACCTAGCTTTATTTTTCCACACGGTAGTTAAATGAAAATTCCTGGTTTATCTGCTTTGACGACTCATTTGCTTTTGTTTGATATACTGGATATACTGCGTTATACATGCGTTGTACATGTATAAGTCTGTTCTATGTGCCGGGATCTCAGCTTGCTCGGTTAGATTTAAGATTCATAACTCCATTTGCAGCTTTTGAGATTTTCTCTTTCTTCCTCCTACTCACACTGGCAGATGGGCAGAGGGAGCTGTTATTGTTTGGCCAGATTACATTCACTACGGTTACATAGCCTACGCAGACACATGCAGAAATTAGTGACAAACTAAAGAAAAAGCTGAACCCTTGACCCCGCACTATGAGGACACGCTGTGAGGGGATTTTGATGGCAAGGCTTGGATCCACTTGTCCCCCACTTAGAGGGAAGGATCACTGCAAATCAATACAAGGCATTTCTCCGTGATCACCTATCCGATAAAGAAAGTGGTCTTTTCTAGGATTACAGTACCCCCATTCACAGGGCATTAAGGGGGTCACTGAATGCTTTTATGAGTATAAAAAAGGGATGAATATTTTATGCTATGGTTTTTACAGTCACCAGATATTAGTCTCTTTACTCTCTCTATATATTTTAGACGAATCATGTTCAATCCCTTCAGTAGGTTTCCAGAGAGGCTCAACACATTGCTAATATGCTTTAGGTTTTTTTTCCCATTTGATTTGTTACCCATCTGTATGCATTTGAAATTATGTAAATAAAAGATTTCCCTACTGTCATTTGCTAATGGGTGAATGTGATCACTGTCTGACTGCGCTTTGTTTACAAAAGCCCACATGCAAAGCAGAACCTTGAAGGCCTCACATGCACACACGCTGACAGGAGGGACTGGCAGTAATATATCACCACTGTAATGCAATGTTTTGTCTCTGCCTGTCTGCCTTATTCTACTTTTTGGTTACGACCATTTCAAAAAAGTGGGACACATAAATAGTTTTTGAAATCTGGTCAGTCACGTAAGGTAATTTATATCCTGTATCCCTGAAAGTCAAAAGAAGGTTCTGATTTACTTTAAACTTCACATGAGCTACTGCGGTAAAACTTACTGCACACCTGCTGCTATGAATAAACAGCAGCACCTGCCCACGTCTGATTTTCAGCCTTGACAGGTCGAGGCTTTTATGGTTCCGCCAGGTCCAAGTGCACCTTGACCGGGTCAAACAGGGCAGAGCAGGACCCCCTGCTGGTCCCCTCACCCTCCAGCAACCGCATCCCCCCATACTCCACACCCTCTATGACCCATTGAAGGAAGGAACAGCTGCTCTGCCTCGGCCCAATGGAGGGGGCGAGTGTGGGACTGAGCTCGTCTCAGTGCATAAGGATTTCAGCTATGTCTCCATTAGACACCAGTGAGCACACATCGGCACCAAATATAGCCCAATTAACGTCACCCCACAGGCCACGCCCAGCTAACCCACTCTACTGCCCCTCCAGGGTGCTGTGTGTGAATCAATCATAAAGGTCAGGGTCCCGTTCCCTATGACCCTCACATTGCTTTTGAAGTACACACTCCTAATCTTGGTGATAATCTCCTATGAGTACAAAATGCCAGTTATGAACAACAGGGGGCTTGGGCCCGTTGTTGCTACCCTAGAGGATTTGAGTTTGAACATCTTTGCCTCACTGTAACATCATGACAAACAAGGTTATAACAGAAAAAATATTCTAAATAACTTTTTCCATAATTGAGAGCAACAACTGCTGTAGTCGCCTTACAAAAAAGCTGCAAATAGGGGTAGCTATTTACACTCGAACATGACCTAATTAGCAAAAGGGCAGAGCACAAACCAGCAACAATCTTAGAAAATCTGAGCTAGACTCTACAAAAGCCAGGTTGTTCATAAACTAGATATAAATTAATACGCGATTTGACTCTTTGCAGGTGCCCCTCTGGCTGTCAGCTGGGTTTACCAGACACGCTTACGTAACTTGAACGTTTAAATGCTGCGGCTCAGATGTCGCCCTGCGCCGCACATTATTATGACATCGGCCACTCTCTCATTCATGATCTGACTTATAAGGCAAGGACACTCTCCGCACAGACTTGTGAACCCGGAGATCACCCAGCCTGCCAAGCATGACCACTGTTTTCCACAACACAAACAAGTCTCCCGATGTCTCTAGCTCCCTGGCTGGCCATTTCTGCGGCTTAGTGAAGGGACATGCTTGAATGGGTCCCATTGTCAATCTATTTCTCACCCTCTATTTTGCGGTGGCTTCTGGCAAACACCCAAGGTCACTAGCTCATAGGCGTAAATATATTACACCAAGTGGAAGAGGAAAGCATAGTATAGGTCTTACACTGTAAATATAAATAAACCAAACAAAAATAAAAAGGTGTGCATTCAGTGTTTTACCTGGAGCCCACCTGCACCACAAGGTTTTTAGCAAAAACACACCTCGCTCTCTGACTATTAATACAGTAGGATATGACCCTAAAGCTCAGCTTATCTTGTAAATTACATAAAGAGTTGAGTTGACGTCTCAACTGTGAACTAGTGTATAGTGTGAAAGGGTTAGCTGGTCAAGCTTCACGTAGATAGAAGATATTCCTGTCCGGTATTAGGAACAAAAGCCCTTTATTGATTTAACTCACAACCACCCATAAGCCATTTCTACACTCCACCAAAGGATGAGTTTATGCAATGCAAAAAAAAGAACAGAAATGTTTTACATTCACACTTTTTTTTGGTCAGAGTTTATCACTGCAAATTTTAGCAGGCATATCTGAGCTGTTACTGCAGGCCTTTGAGGGCTAAGACAAAGCTTTCGGCCAGAAAACAGTAGCCGACTGTGCTTTGTCTAAGCACAAACACAGTCCTCCATTGTGGTGCTACAAATCATCTTCAGTACCTCTAGTCTTCGATTACAGACCCAGAACTCCAGTCCCTGCTCTTTTGTGCACCCAGAACAAGCTCATTACTGACTCACACACAGTCAGTGTAAACAACCCTAAAACTATGCAAATAGCATCATTCACACACAGTACCCAACCCCTTACCCATTACCCAGTCCCAAAAATGTGTTTTCATGGACAAATTAGTTGTTGGATTTTAGATCAGCTTGATTTTTTCAATGTCCCACCGATGGGTGTGAATCACATTTGGGCTCCTGCGACAGTCTTTGCTTTAACTGCAGATTCAGTGCTGGTTTAGCACACCTGCAGTCTGTTTTGTATTCTGACCATAAAATAGTAATGGTAGATAATTAACACACTCTAAAAGCCTGTGATGGGAACATGAAGCATAACAAGGACACAAGTAAGATTACCTGGCTGGTAGAAGTTGGGTGAGAGCTCCCGGGCAACCGCCCTGGCAATTTCAGATTCATGCACCGCAGAGATCGCAGCCTGGTCTGCAGCCTCACTTTTTGTCCTAGCATGGGCTGTTCTGTGAATGCATAGACAAAAATAAGTGTTAGAAAAATGGAAACAATGAAGAGCTGCTCTCCACCATGTCCACAGTAACAACACAGACATATAACGGGCACACTGGTGGGCAGTGCCAGCGTAACCTGCTGCTCTTTATCTGTCATCAAGCATCAAAGAACCTTGTATTTGAACCTTTTTCAGATCTATACATAAAATAACATAAAAAAATCAAGAGACAGAAGAGCAACATGTTTTGAGATCAATATAGGGGTATTATGGAAATGTGCTGTGATGAAGCAGAGAGAGGCCAAGGGTGACCAGCTTAACAAAGCCTTAAAAAAAACTCAGCTGAGAGGTATTGTGCGTGTCCACATGTGAAAACACGCAAACTATGGCTATAGGCAGTATCTCTGTGCCAGGGAATGAAGATGTCTCTCTCTCTCTCTTCTACCACTGCAGTTATTTAAAAATAAAGACACAATAAAGACAAAAATAAACAAACACATAAAGATCATCAATTAAAGTTGATTACTCACTTAAATATAAAAATGACAGTGACAAAAAAAATGCTCAAGTGATATGAGACAAGTGCAACGAGGAACGTGAGGATCTAGATGGGAAGTTCAAGTATCACTTTAAGAATTGACAGCTGTGCCCGCTGCCCTGCTTAACCCCACTCATCCCTCTTCCTCTCCATCTATCTCGCACTGTCCTGTGTTCTCTCTTTCAATCAATGCTCCTGTTTTGTTTTTTCCCCCGATCCTGCTTCATCCGCCTATTGGCTCATGCCATCATCCCTCTGCATCCCTACTCCTCCCCTCCCTCCCACCGTCTTGCTGTTAGAGTGACCCCATCCGGACAGATGTCTCTATTTCTGTCCTTGGACTCTGGGGCTGTCCTGTTTCAGAGGACAGGAACATTAAGATATTAAAATTCATGAGGAACCAAGAAATAAGCAAACAGACAAAGGACATGCTGAGGGTATGTTTGACCAGCTGCAGATAAAAATTCGGATTCAAGAATCTTTAACAGTATAACTCATAATGTCTCGGTTCTTGCTGCGCTTCACTGGTGTGGCTCATACTAGGCAAACTGTAGCATTCATTGTCTTCCTCAGGAAAGCTACGGCAGCTAAAAATTGACAATAAAGCATTCCAGTTACATCACACCACTGACATGCATACTGCTCGCTGCACATGCTATCATAAGGACACTGAGGCTTCTATTTCTGCAATGTGTGAAATATCCTGCTATGTGAATGGAAGCATGAATGTGCCTCGAATGTATACAGCATGCCCATGGCATGTCCTAAGGATCTTCACAGAGGAGTGGGCATTAATTAATGGCCAGGCAGAGGAAGTGATGCAGACTGTTCCCAGACAGGATATCTGGTGGTGGGAGGTGACAGGCGGAGAATGATGGGAGTAGAGGTGTGATAGAGCACTGGGACAAGAGGAGAGTGAAATGGAAGGTGAGAAAACATGGGCATGTAGAAGACGGAGATGAAATGCATGGTTCTTTTTTTTTGCCTGACATATAGCAACTTAATTAAACTTGCACTGTACACATGGACAGTTCATGGAGTGAGAAGCCTGTAATAACTGTTGTTCACTTTTTACATGTGACTTTTGCAGATTCATTCATCTTCCTGCTTCCGAGGGAAACATCTAGATCACCCTGTAGATATATTAGAGGGTTTTCCCCAATAGGAGCTCCCGATGAGGTAATGAGCTGTGAGAATTGCAGCCATAAAAATCTGAGCAGAAAGACAGCAAAATGCTTCACCGAGCAGATGATAGCTCTCTGTACAGCATGCATCACCCCAGCCAGTTAGTGGCATGCAAATCCTTCCAACAGAGAGCCAAAGTACGCATGAAAACAAACTCTTCACACATTATGAAATGAAATGCACTGTCTTTGCCATGGTAGAGGAAATGAAAAAAAAAAAAAACCTGGGTAAACAACAAACAAACGCAAACTCAGGAGTGACCTTGGAGAAAGTTTTTGGAGCGGCGACTTGTAAGACAGTCTGCCCATGAATACAAAGCAACACCTGCTCACGTCTAGCTTTTGGGTTGTGCAGACAGACCTGTGCGGGGATGCTGGGGAGCCTGCTTGCACACGCGCAGGCTGTCACGCACAGACACACTTGGCAGTTTGTAGACATTTGGACAAAGCCTTAAAAGGGTGCAAAACCTTGAAGTGACTCCTTCTGGAGCGTCATCTGCGAGATGATATTGATAAAGCCTTGCGGCTGGCTGTTTCATTAATGTGACAAATCAAGAGTGTGAAAACAGTTGAGTCAGTTTGGCAGCGAGTGTGGTGGATGGTCTTTCTGTCTGTGTGTATTTGAAACATGGGGGAGAAAAAGAAGGGGGGGAAGGAGAGAATAACTGAGCCAAAGGAGAAAAGTGGGAGCAAGAGAAAGAAAGAGGGGGCGAGAGGCTGCCCCTTTAAAGACTCTTCGGCATTTAGAACTGCTGAGGCATGCATCTCAGCCCCTCTAATTTTACTGTAGGGTTAAATTTCAGTCCTCAGGCCACAGGCAGCACGGTGCATCACGCTATAAGGGCTGTTATGCCTCGGTCGCGTGCTGAATACAGTATTATGTGTGTATGCGCCTGTTGTGTGTGTGTGTGTGTGTGTGCAAATTCCCAATAGCAAGGCTTCAGTCCATCACTCCCTAGGCTATGGCCTATTTGAGAAATCTCTTTCACATATGCTGGCACAGTTTTGAACCCCTCTATTGCCTTTCGGTCCCCTCTGCACCCATCCTGTTTTTATTTTCTGTCATTTTTCTGCTCTTTACCACACTAACCTATTCCCCTTCCCCCTCAATCCAAGCTTGATAGCTTAACTGGAATGCTTACTAGTACAAGATATTAGATGAGTCTTTACCTTGTCTGTGATAGACAACAGCTATCCTTTAAACTCCATCACTCTCTTTATTTGCCCACAACCAAGAGCAAACTATTGCTACTACAAAGCAAGGGTCATGTTCCATTTGTCTGCTCTGAGTGCACAAATCAGTGCATGAAAGGATATAATAAATGAACAGAAACTGCTGTCCTATATCTTGGCCAAACAATCCCCACTCCAAAGCAGCAGCACAGACAGTCTGCACAAATTAGCACTTAGCTTGCCCCGCACATATATCCATGCAAGGCTGCTATTGAATTCCCGGCTGGTGCTAATTCAGGATTACTCAAGCATGACTAACACCATTAGCGGTTAGCTAAAACCGACTCTGAAATTATTCAGGAATTATTCTCGGACTGAGGCCTTGGCTCATATTACCAGGGGCTGCAGCAGTGGGGGACACAATAGCTTTTGCAAATTAGGTTCAAAGGGAAAGATGGAGTGGCTGTTATTATGAGATAAGCTAACATTATGCTGAAGAGAGAGCTGTGTTGCTGTATAATGGAAATATTTATGCACGCTCATGTCTGACCGATAACATGTATTGTACTGATGTTTGGAGGGGATGGGCTCTGTGCTCGGTCCTTTCTTCTGTTTTGTATTGCCTTTTTTTGTACTGTTACTCTTTTTTAAGGACAAATAAATAAATCTCTGTTTTTATTTCACTGTCAGACTGAAAGCTTTGTTGTCCCTGATATGCCACAGTATGCACAGACCTACGAAGACTCAGTGACTGCAGAGGCTCAAACCTCCTCTGGAATTAACATCAGCGAAAAAAACTGTGTGCCTAGAGCTTCATGACACGGGTTTCCATGATAGAGCAGCTCCCGTTGGTGTGATATGTAGGTAGCATGTGACAGTGTTTAGGCAACCAATGTTTAACATCTGTTGACTATGCGTACAATAAGAGGAGTATATAAAATAAAGTCCTGCAATTAATCGAGTAAACATGGGGTTAAATATGTGTGGAAAAAATAGCAATGATTCTGTACTATTTGCCAATTTCTGATTTCTGCCATCATGACATCATTTTTTCCTCCCCCTCAGATTTTGTATTTTTCATAGAGGTTGAACTAACAGGTAGAGACAAACTGAGAAGCTGTTCCCAAACAGACTTCATTTCTGGGAAGAAGAATGAGTAGAATCAGTTTTGATTAAACAGGAAAATCCCCAAACTCTGCCAACATTTTTGGCTGTGGATTACAAACAGACCTAATCTCCCCCGCTGGTATTTTCTACTCAAGAGCTATAAAGTGAACCCTCCACCTCGCCTAACCCTCATCGGGTAACGGGCGTAACATGCAGGTATGTGAATCTATCAGGATTTTATCGTGTTCTTCTCAACACGGCACTGATCTGTGGTACATGTTTGGACCTCTGATATGTTGAAGGCCTGATACGCTCTTCGTGCCGTTACGAATCATTGGGCGTGTTGAGAGAGTGACACAGAATCTCTTACTGAGATGATCCCTCTGGTTTTGGTGAAGGGCAGTGGCGGGGATTCAGACCTCAGCTCTGTGTCAACACTGTTGGTGAAACATGGCCACAGCTGATACAGCTAATGACACAGAGGGGGAGGGAGTGATGTTGGCTAAAGAATTCGCAGCAGAGAAACAGCTTATATTTGCTTTTCCAGTTGAGCAAAAGCAAATATAAGCAATGAAAATATGAGAGGCTTGATGACGAAAAAAAGACTTTTGACAAATATGTCAATTCAGATTCACTCAGTTCACCTATGTGTTCCTAAATATTTATTTTATACATATTATATACATATAAAGTGACAAGTAACTCATAAAAGAGATCGGGAACTAATAATATGAGTTACTAATAAATACTGGGACATCAAATTTAAAAAAAATTCCAGTAAAAAGACAAAGTAGTTATTAAATATCTCACAAGCTAACCTGTATATAAGAATGACATACAATCCTTAGAAAAAGTTAGCAATGGAACCAAGATCCTATTTCATTAATGGTTATCTTACACTATATCAATTAAATGTTAGATATTTAAAAGTTTGAGGTATTTTCATATTCAATCCAAAGGTATTCCAATGGTGATTGGAGCTTGGTGACATGGCATGTACTAAAAGGCCCA